GCCCGGCCTATTGCACGTATTCAATCCACCAATAAGGATACAATAAGCTGACTGGCCAGGCAGGATTCCCCAAGGTATCATCTAGAATCCACCAGAATGACTACCGGGTACACTTAATTATTAGGATTTTAGAAGCTTGGGCATTCAGCTTACTGTATCCGTATTGGTGGATTCCATAGGAGCAGTAGGTTGGGCGGGTGAATCGACCCAAACGCGATTAAATTCACGACCTTCGTGGTGCCTTCATAGCTCAATTGGTAGAGCGTTGGCTGTGCTGAAGCCTTCCTTGTGACAAATAAATATATGTAGATATGATGAGGGGGATCCGACAAAGCAAAGGGAGACCAGAATGACCATTTCTGGCTTGTTAGCCGTCATCGGCCAGTCATATCCCATCTCAAGGATTTAAACCCCCGAGGTTTGAACCCTGGACCTTTGGTCATTGTGTTCAATACTCTGCCACGGCACCACGGGCTCTTTGCTTTAAGATCGAGAATATAATGAATATGTGTGCTTCGCCGATCTAGTAGAAGAACAATAAAGTTCCGCTTTGCCCAAGAGCTCACAACGTGAACCCGCTAGACTGTAACATAGTGACTATGATAATATGATGAAATGGATCCGTGGTAGAGTATTGAACTCAATGACCGGGTTCAAATCTAGGGGGTTCCAACCCGTGAGCTTGGATATGACTGGGTGATGACAGCTAACAAGCCAGAAATGGCCATTACGGTCTCCCTTTGCTTTCTCGGATCCAATCCATCATATATCTGAGGTCGCTAAGCGACAGCCTGATATAACTCAAGTACGAGCCTCCGGGAGCTTCCGGGACAAGTATATGCCCTAACTAGATAGACCCCAATTCCATCATATTCACGATCACAACCGACAAAGCAAGGAACCCATGGACTAGAGGTAGAACATTGAACTCAATGACCTTAGGTCCCGGGTTCAAATCTCGGGGGTTCCAATTCTTGAGATTGGATATGACGGGCTGATGACGGCTAACAAGCCAGAAATGGCCATTCTGGTCTCCGTTTGCTTTGTCGGATCCGGTCTGGCGGGTTTACGTTGTGAGCTCTTGGGCAAAGCGGAAACTAACTGTTCCTCTACTAGATCGGTGAAGCACATATATTCATATATATATGCATTCATTCATCATATTCCCGATCACAACCGACAAAGCAGGGGACCCGT